TCTTTCCCTTCTTAGACTCTGGGGTCTTTGACATGATCTCCATTCTGAATTGCTTTGCTCTGCTATAGTACAAAGGTAGGGTTTACCTTTTAGAAATGATTCGCTATACACCTCATGGATTCTTTTATGGAAACCTCTGAAAAAAAAATCTGTCTTCAAAACTTGAATCAAGCAATTGATTTCAACAACAGTAGTTAGTAAAGACACTGTTCTGGATGGGACAGAGTACTGATGCAGTTGTTCAGTCACTCTGAGAAATTCTGTCCTTTTAAAGTGCTGCTGCGATCATAAACAGTTGTTAGTTTTAGTTTATAGCTCCAATAAATTATTTAGTGAATGTCTGTTTTGTTAGGGAATTAAATTGGCCTTGGCTTCATTTCAAAATATTTGACTAACAACTAAAAGGGCATTAACTACTGGTCATGATCAGCAATGAAGAATTTTGTATATGGCTAACAAAGGTTTAATAGCAAGTTTCTCCTCAGGTTAGTATAAGCAGCAGGTATAATAGTGCTATCCGCTCATTACTGATAGCGAATGAAGAAAAATCTCATCCTAATTCTTGACTAATTTCTCTAACACAAGATACTATTTGCCCACCTTCTGCACTTTGGGGATACACATTCATTTGTTCCTGGCTCTATTTATTTATTTTATCCTCTTTATTTTATAAGTATTTTTGTGGCTCATTTCTGTAGCGTCAATGAATTAAGCCTCAGAACATCCCTAAGAGTAAGAAGTAAAAATACAATTTTCATTTTAGCGACACGAAAACTGAGGTGCAGAATGGATAGTAAGGTACATTTGGAAAAGTAGCTAGCAAATTCTGGCATCCAGAATCGATGACCACTTTTGAAAGTCAGGAGAAGTCACTTGCTAATATCTCGCAGGAAGTCTATGGCAGAAACATCTGAAACTGAATCAGGATCTCCTGTATTTCAGTTTCATGGCCTAACTGCAAGAACATCTTTCCTCCCTTGTGCCTCGCCTTTACTGGGCTTTCTTGCTGAAATAATTTTAGTGATTTGTATTTTTTTGTGTGACGTTTTATTTCCAGATTTTTCTTAGATCTCTAGCTTCACATTATATGCTCCCTGGGCAAAGTAATGTCTCAACACAGTCTTTAGATATGCAAAGAAGCTCAGTGAGAGCCTCCTGCACTTATCCAAAGGCAGAAGCTAGGCCCTGGGATCCCACAATGAAATCTACTCCACTGTATCTCTCTCAGGAGCTTTGCGATGTGCATATTACTTGTCTTAACAAAATCACTTGGTCTGTACTTGTGTGCTGTAAAACCCTCTTAGTTGAATTCAGTAATTCAAAATCACATACGAAAAGTAGGGAAATTCTGAGTCACAGCTGCCACTCCATTCTTCACCTACCGGCTGTTCTCAGATACTGCGGGGGTCTTTGAGTGCTGGGTGATTTTACTCAGCACACATGGTATTTTTAAAGTGAAGTAAAGAGCAGCAGCGTTTATGTGCCTTTGCGAGCTCTGTGGGGTGGAACAGCCTTACCTCCACATTCAGCTCTATCACGAGCGCCAGCTAATTTTTGGTGTCCCGGGTCCTGAGAACTTGGGCAAGGTTCACAAATTATTTGTCCTTCCTCATCTTGGTATGTTCCATTAGGGCATAAAACACAGAGTTCTTGTTTCCTGTCATAGTACGTTCCAATACGGCAGCTAGCTAACGACAGGAAAAAACACCAACATTCAATTTCTATGCTTCAAAGCCGGTGAGTTAAATTGGCAAATACCAGCTTGCTGAATGATTTGCAGAGTGATGCCTTGTACCTCTAAGGCAAAACCACTACAGGTTCTACATCCCTAATCTGGCACCGTGGGAACCTTTTTGGCCTCAAACCTGAAAAATTGCTGTGCTAGGGGAAGTCAGTGCTGGCCCCTCTGTGGCAGGACTCTACTCTGGCAGTAGCAGAGGATCCAGCACTGACCAAGCAGGGACTGGGGGAGGCATTAGGAAAAAGAGGCAGGGTGGCTGCAGAGCCTCACTGCCGGGGGTCAGGAGCACAGCCCCATGGGAACCTACCAAGTCCAGCATCCATTGAGCTGCTCTCCCAGATCCCACCTCCAGTGCTTCTAGCCATGGGGCTCTGCAGCCACTCTGCCTCTTCCCCCGAACATCCCCCATTCCTCTTTGAGCTTCAGTGCCTCAAATGAGCTATTTGTGGCACTCCAGAAGCTCTGGACGGGCAAGGGAGGAGTTGCTGAGCACAGGGCCCGGCTTTTCCCCAGGAGCAACCACGGGGATGCTGGACCATAGATGTTGCTGGGCTATCGAAGACCAAACCATCGAGGTTGAACCTGTAGAACAGAACCATGAAAACACAAGGGGCAGAATGTTCCATTCATGAATTTTGCAGAGTTAAATGTCCCCTATAAAGAGAACAATGGGAATTGTCATATGGGGTCAGACTCATGGTCCATCTAACTCAGTGATTTTTAAACTATGGGTCATGACCCAATACTGGGTCATGGGATGCCAGGTATGGGGTCACCTTGCCACAGGGTGACTAGAGGAGGTGCGAGAGCAGCTTCCTGTCTGTCCTGGCACAACAGATTGTGCTGTGCCCCAGAAGTGGTCAGCAGTATGTCCAGCTCCTAAGCTGAGGTACCACAGGGCTCCATGTGCCACCCCCGCCCTGAGTACTGCTCTGCTCCCCCATTGGCCAGTTCCTGACTGATGGGAGCTGCGAGGGGCAGTGCTGTTGGCTGTGTGGTCTGTGATACCAGGAAAGTCAGGAAGCCTGCCTCAGCACCCTCACTGCACCACTGACTGGGAGCTGTTGGAAGCAAAGCCATGCCCCAATCCACTATCCAAACTTGAGCCGCTCCAAACCTGAAGCCCCCTCCTAAACTCCAAACCCCTCCTCCCCAGCCCTACTCTGGAGCCTGCACTCTAGTCAAAAGATAGAATTATATTGGGTTGCGGGCATCAACACGTCTTCAACTGGGTCGCAAGAAAAAATGTTTGAAAACCACGGTCTAGCCCAATATGCCATGTCTGACAATGCCCCTGAGGTGCATAAGGTGAGTTCAGAAGGAACTATATCTACCTATCCAACAGCTGCACCAATATGAGCGGTTTGCATTAGAAATGTAAGCGAGTAGTTGAGTAGTCACCTACTCAATTATTCGCTCCCCCATGCTTGCTGCCTCTGTATCAGAGGCAGCAAGGGTGGGGAAGCAGGAGCTGGGGTAGAGAGCTTAAAAGCCCCCTCAGCACCAACTCTATGGTGCCATGTCCCACCCCCCCAGCCGCACTGCTGCCTATATCAAAGGCAGCAGCAGTAGTGGGGGGGGAGGGCGGAGGAGGCAGGGGAGGCTGCAGCGAAGCAGCCTGTTCATAGCCAGCTGACGGGTTGGTGACCATGGACTTAAGCTACTACATGTGGATGGGCTGTGTGTTACTAAGGCAGCAACAGGGCAGAGCTCTAAAGATATTGCATCTGGTATCATTTGATTACGGAAAACTTTGCCAGTCTCTGCTCCAACAGACCCTGAACCCGTAGAGCATCTTGTGACCTAAAAAGGATCCTCTGAAAAGGAGTCAAAATTTCATTTATATTAGTGGTGAAAGTCAAATCTGCAAAAGAGCTAATGGGAGAGTTTCCTACAGTCTCTCCACCGGTGTGACACATCCCCACCCATCAGAATGCTCTGACGCATCATTAGGAGCTGTTTAGTGTTTTAAATGCAGGACCAGTTATTTGTAAGGCCTCAAAAACTTGTATAGATCTGTGGACAGAATTGGTATCAGAGTTGATTGCAGGGGTAGGTTCCGGATGAGTATGATGAAGGTCTGCTGTGTGGTTATTGGAAAAAATTTGTTTGAGGTTAAGGGGTTGTCTGAATGTGAGGAATGGCCTGTCCCACAAGGCATGTGAGAATAAAGAGTCATTTTCAAGGATAGGTTGTAGAGCGTTGCTAACTGTTGGAGAGTGAGGGGTCATTTTCCAGGATAATTGTAAACAATACAGGTATATACAGGGGCAAGATTAGAAAGGCAAAGGCACAAAATGAGCTCAAACTAGCTAGAGACATAAAGGGTAACAAGAAGACATTCTATAAATATATTAGAAGCAAGAGGAAGACCATGGACAGGGTAGGCCTACTGCTCAGTGAAGAGGTAGAAACAATAACTTGGAAATGGCAGAGGTGCTTAATGACTTCTTTGTTTCGGTCTTCACCAAGAAGTCTGATGATGAAGGAATGCCTAACATAATGAATGCTAGTGGGAAGGGGGTAGGTTTAGAAGATAAAATAAAAAAAGAACAAGTTAAAAATTACTTAGAAAAGTTATATATCAACAAGTCACCAGGGGCTGACGAAATGCATCCTAGAATATACTCAAGGAGCTGAGGAGGTATCTCAGCCTTCAGCTATCATCTCTGAAAAATCATGGAAGTCGGGAGAGATTCCAGAAGACTGGAAAAGGGCAAATATAGTGCCCATCTATAAATAAGAACAACCCAGGAAACCACAGACCAGTCAGTTTAACTTCTTTGCCAGGAAAGATAATGGAGCAAGTAATTAAAGAATTCATCTACAGATATCTGGAAGAAAATAAGGTGATAGGTAACAGCCAGCATGGATTTGCAAAGAACAAATCATGTCAAACCAATCTGATAGCTTTCATTGATAGGATAACAAGTCTTGTCAATAAGGGAGAGGCGGTGGACGTGGTATACCTAGACTTTAGTAAGGCATTTGATACAGTCTTGCATAATCTTCTTATCAATAAACTAGGCGAATACAACTTAGATAGTAATAAGGTGGGTGCATAATGGGCTTCATAACCATTCTCAGAGAGTAGTTATTAACAGTTTACAATCATGCTAGAAGGGCATAACAAATGGGGTTCCTCAGGGGTCTGTTTTGGGACCGGTTCTGTTCAATATCTTCATCAACGATTTAGGTATTAGAATAGAGAGTACACTTATTAAGTTTCCAGATGATACAAAGCTGGGAGGGGTTGCAACTGCTTTGGAGGATAGGGTCAAATTTCAAAATAATCTGGACAAACTGGAGAAATGGTCTGAGGTAAATAGGATGAAGTTTAATAAGGACAAATGCAAAGTACTCCACTTAGGAAGGAACAATCCATTTCACATATACAGAATGGGAAGCGACTGTCTAGGAAAGAGTACTGCAGAAAGAGATCTCGGGGGTCATAGTGGACCACAAGCTAAATATGAGTCAATAGTGTGACAGTGTTGCAAAAAAAGCAAACATGATTCTGGGGTATATTAACAGGAGTGTTGTGAGCAAGACATGAGAAGACATTCTTCCGCTCTACTCTGCGCTGATTAGGCCTCCATAGGAGTATTGTGTTCAGTTCTGGCCATCACATTTCAAGAAAGATGTGGAGAAGGTCCAGAGAAGAATAACAAGAATGATTAAAGGTCTAGAAGAGTACATGAGCTATGAGGGAAGACTGAAAGAACTGGGCTTGTTTACTTTAGAAAAGAGAAGACTGAGAGGGGACATGATAGTGGTTTTCAGGTATCTAACAGGGTGTGACAAGGAGGAGAGAGAAAAATTGTTCTCCTTGGCCTCTGAGGATAGAGGAGACAAGAGGATAGACATGAAGCAATGGGCTTAAGCTGCAGCAAGAGAGGTTTAGGTTAGCAGCCCTTTAGGAAAAACTTCCTAACTGTCAGGGTGGTTAAACACTGGAATAAATTGCCTAGGGAGGTTGTGGAGATAAATTGCCTAGGGATATTGGAGATATTTAAGAGCAAGTTAGACAAACATTTGTCAAGGATGGTTTAACTCTAGACTGTGCTTGGAATCCTGCCATGAAGACAGGGGACAGGACTCAATGACCTCTTGAGGTCCCTTCCACTTCTAGTGTTCTATGATTCTATTGTTCTATGATTGTTGATAATGTGCTGAGGGCTGCAGATGACAAAAATATTGTCAATTAGAGTGTCCACGTTAAATGAGCTAACAGAATGGGCTCTAAGTCTTCTAGGTACCTGGCATTTGGCTTTTATTTTATCCTTGACTAGGACAAAGGATTAATGGACACAAATCAGATATTTGAAATGGTAACACACAGAAACCTGTTGGGGAACATTTTCAACTTGCCCAGATACTCACTAATGCATCTAAAAGTGTCTGTATTTTCAAAGCAATTTGAAAAGCCAGCTTGAAAGGGAAACTGTGGAACTTGGTTTCATTTATAAGTTTGACACCTTGAACAGAGGTTTAAACAAAGACCTGACGTGTATGAGTCGCTACATTCCACATCCTAATGACATAAAAAGCCAAACACTGGGTACTTAGACTACTTAGAGCCCACTATATTAGCCTCATTTTGCATGGACACTCTAATTGACAGTATTTTTTCTCAATTTTTCCCCCCTTTTCTGTCCCTCCCCATTCCCTTCTCTTTCTCTGGTATTTATTGGTATCCTGGACCCCTTAATTCCATCCATCTGAAGAAGTGGGTTGTGCCCACGAAAGCTCATGATGCCATCTACATGTTTTGTTAGTCTCTAAGGTGCTGCAGGACTATTCATTGTTGTTTTTTTTAATTTTTCAGTTACAGAGTTACACTGCTATCCCTCTAAAGCTTTTGTACAGAGAAAAGGTCTTTTGTTTCCAGGGTCAAACATGTGTTTCTAGTTACACAAATATTAGATCTGGTCAACTAGCAAAATT